AAAAACTTATAATACTAACTTCATATGACCAACAAAGAGTTGAGATGTTATCATGTGCCATTTTCTTAGTAAATAAATGCAAAGAAAATTCAGCACAAATGAGTTCATAGAAACAAATTCTCAAAGTATATGTATTCCATTGGACCTACAAGTCTGCAACTCATATTTATCAATAATAAAGTACTATAAATCTCATGCAATGCAAGCTTCCCTAAAAGAGCACAAAAATTCAACAGAGGCAGGGAGAAAATATGATATAGCAAAATTAAACGGAAGTTTAGGGAAGTATAGCTTAGCTGGAGTTATAAATTGCAAGACGTGGTCAGAAAAGCAACTTAATTTGGTTACAGCAGAACACAGAACAAAATACTAATTAATTCAATAGAAAGGGAAGAATGTTAGTGCTACCTACAATAAGGCTGTTCAGGACATTGCCAATGTGGAATTATTGGTACCTGCACAGAAGTAAGATGGAAAGACTTATTCCCAAAGACGAATGGATGGCTTAACTTGGTTATGGCAGGTTATCATGTAATGAACAAAAGTCTTTCACCTGTACAAAAATTGGAACACAACATATGATCTCATATCAAAACAAGATTCAAACAAACATAACTCACTCTCCCGCTGAACATTAACATAAAAGAGAAAGGAGAAAAGAGTGAACATAACAATATTTACCTGTTTATTTCGTTGTTGCTCTCATTTTCAATTTTTGTGACTTTGTTGCTCTCTTTAACAGGAAGGTACTGCTTAAATTTTCCTGATAAAGGGAAGACGATTGTGACTCCATGAAAGGGAAAAGAGAAACTAAGACATGAGAAGAAAACAACACAGTGAGATACACAAATTGGATCTCTTGTATTCAAAATTATTGCAGAAAACAGCAGAAGGAAAAGAGGAACTTACACTGAACACAAAATCGAGGAATTCAATGGAAGGGGAAAGTTGGATTCAAATTTGGGCTTTATGACGTTGGGCTTTCGTTTTGGCGAAGTGGGCCCAAATGTTGCCACGGCGGCCGCGCCCACCAGGGTTCCTCCGCCAGGAATTCGCAGAAGGGTAAAAGGGCATCCCTTTGCTTGGGATGGTCCCACTCTAACGATTTCCACCATTCTTTTGGAAATACATTGATTCCTTTGAGAGAAGGAGGCGGAAGTGATTGGCCGTTGTCAAGTTGGGGAAGATACAAAGGAATCCTCTTTAGCTCAGTGCATCTTATAATTAGCAAATACATGAGGGAATCACATCTCAACACACTGATGTTGCTACAGATGCTCTTCAATGCGGGCAAATCTTTCAATTTTAGTATCCGTAGCTTGGGTAGAGAGAGTTGAAGGGCCTTTTCTTCTTCTTGAGATCCCAGTGATATTATCTCCTCCATTTGCGCACAATCCATAATGTCAATAGTTTCTAGATTCTGGAGACAGCTAAGCCGCGACCTAGGTGAGAACAACTTCTTCAATTGATGACATGTGGCAATAGTAATGCTTACAAGAGGGAAAAAGGTGGTGGCAGGTGCAGGTGACAACAAAGCAAGAGCTTCTTCATCAAACAC